ATACGGCCAGCAGTGAAGGACCACGTCTCAGTTCCGTAAGTCATCACTGGCAACACGCACTGGTTGTACAATTTCGTTTTAAGGTTTTGAGGTATGTCTGACGAGAAGATGTGTCGTAGCTTCCCGAACGCTGCCCAGCCGAGTTGAATCCGTCGATTGACCTCTCGGTCGAAGTTGGACTTACCTAGTCGGACTATTTGTCCCAGGTAAACATACTCGTCAACAACTTCGAGCTTAGTGCTCCCAACAACTACCGGCATAGGTGTGATATGGACATTAAACATGATCTTTGTTTTGTCCATGTTCATCTTAAGACCTATCCGTTGGGAAACACTATTGAGGTCATTGAGCATAGTGCTTAGGTCCTCCAGCGATTCTGCCATAAGGACTATATCGTCGGCAAATCGAAGGTGAGTGATGTACTCGCCATTGATGTTGATACCGTATCCTTTCCAGTCCAGAAGCTTGAAAACGTCTTCCAATGCAGCGGTGAAGAGTTTCGGGGATATGACGTCACCCTGTCTTACACCTCTCTGCAATTGGATAGGTTTCGTACTCTGGTTCTGTACTCGGATAGCCATCGTAGCCCTACTGTACAAGCACTTCAACACTTCGATATACCGACAGTCAACTTGGCACCGCTGAAGGGACTGCAGCACCGCCCAAATTTCGACGGAATCAAAGGCTTTCTCATAGTCCACATACGCCAGACATAGTGGCAAATTGTACTCTTCGGACTTCTGTACAACTTGCCGAAGGGTATGTATGTGGTCTATGGTGCTAAAGCCCTTTCGGAAACCGGCTTGTTCGGGAGGCTGGAAGTCGTCAAGTCTGCGCGCGAGACGATTCGTAATGACTCTCGAAAACAGCACGTAGACGCGGCTCAGAAGGGAAATCGGTCTGTAGTTCTTCAAGAGAGCGTTGTCACCTTTCTTGAAGAACAAGACCACCGCACTTCTGCTCCACGCCTCCGGTGTAATGCCACCATGGAGGACGGAATTAAAGAGCTTCTGAAGGACTTCAAGTACCGGTCTTCCACCCGCTTTCAGAAGCTCCGCTGTAATTCCATCCTCGCCTGGGGCCTTACCGTTTTTAAGGTGCTGGAGAGCCATCCTAATCTCGCTCAGACTGACATCCGGGATATCTTCGGAATAGTGTCGGATGAGACTCGCTCTTGGATCGTTACTCACACTTGCGTGTGGCTCCAACGATGATGTGTACAGCTGCCCATAGAAACTCTCAATCTCACTCAAAATCTCAGGTGTCCCGGAAACGATGCTGCCACACTCTGTCTTCAGCTTTGACAGTTGGCTCTTTCTGGCAGGCAGATCTCTGGCAAAGACTTTGGAGCCTTGGTTCCGCTCGATCGCTTCTTCAATACGAGCTGTATTGAAGTTGCGTAAGTCCCGCCGCATGCATTTGGAGATCTGTCTGTTCAGATGCCTGTATGCTGTCAAGTCTGTTGAAGAATGTAGCTTCATCTCCCGTCTAACAGCCATGAGATTAAGAGTGTGATCGGAGAGTTTTTGTGTTCTTCTGCGGCGGGTCTTGCAGAACTTAGCTCCGACCGCATGGACAGTTTCCACGAGCTTGTCATTCATATCGTCCACTTCATTGCAGTCTTCCAGGCACTGAAAACGGTTTTGTAACTCGAGCTGAAAGGTTTCGGGACTTTGGAACAGAGCACGAGGGGGACGGAGCGTTGACTTCATTAGACGAGACCTCTCCAACTTAACGTTTAGGTTCAGTGTGCCTCTAACCATTCGGTGATCGCTACCAGTTTTCACCCTCGCGATCACGGAGACATCACTGAACAGTTGTCGTCTGGTCGTCATAATGAAGTCAATCTCATTTTTTGTGGAACCGTCGGGGCTCGACCAGGTCCACTTCCTGTGGGGCCGCTTCTGGAAGAAAGAGTTCATCATAAAGAGTCCCTCTTTCTCCATGAAGTCGGCCAGCTGCTGGCCCCTTGGGTTCCGTTGCCCTATTCCAAATTTCCCTACTTTCAGCTCACCGTTCTCTCTTGTGCCTAGTTTTGCATTGAAGTCTCCCATTAACACCGTATATTGGGTTTTGGGGGAATGCATGGCTCTAGAGATATCCTCATACATTTCCTCCACCTCCTCATCGGGGTGTGCCGAGGTTGGTGCGTAAACCTGTATGACCTTCAGCGAATACCGTTTGGTGATTCTGAGTATAAGGTACGCAACCCTCGTCGACACACTCCCGATCTTTACAACGTTGTTAACGAGAGACTTGTGGACGATAAATCCGACACCTCCTTGGGACAGATGGTCGCCCTCCCGGTGATAGAGCAAGTTGCCGGATTCGAGGATTACCGTGTCCTCCCCCTCTCTTCGGACTTCAGATAATCCTATAATATGCCAGCGCAACTTGTCTATCTCTTCTTCCAGCTCCACGATCTTCTCGTCAGTCCTCAGGGTGCGTGCGTTGTACGTTGCCAGGTCGAGTCGTCTAAGGTGGCAACCGAACCTCCACCGGAGATTCTTAGCACCCCCTGCCCCGCCGTTACCATGGTCGCCACCGTAGCCAGGAATAGCGGGGCCGCCGGGGACTGGGGGCCGTTTTTTTGTAACTGTCATTAATAGGGGGGTATTTGCCATAGTTGCCACGCTTGGCGAGCGGGTTGGCAACCGCAGTTTTTTATTGTAATTTGGCTATTATCAGGAAGATGCTGCTGCCCATCTCCTGCCTGTTTCCCTTTGTCGCCTTTTACGACACCCACGGGAGGATATGGGGTAGTGGATATTCTTGACCGCCACTACACGGCTGTGGCCTCACGTTCACTGTGTATAAAATTTATAAGGAATAAAAGTAATTTTAAGGATTTTATAACGTTTAATTTTAACTTTTTAAGTTCCCGATGGTTTCGGCAATTTACAGCACCCATGGTCACGGGAGGGGCGGAAGAACTGAGGTGTATGACGACCTGATGTCATAGTTAAAATAGAATAGTTAAAATGCAGTAGTAGTTTGAATTTAATTTTATTCATCATGGAGTCCTTAGCAGATAGTAGCACTCAGCCATCTTCCCTATTAAAATTAGGATATTTTTAATTTCAATAGCCTCGCGAATCATCATTGGTAGGATTCGGTGTTCTATTGCAAGGATTTGTTGTATATAATGGTTGGGACGATACTAAACATGTTTACATACTTTAGACTTACCGGAGCTTCGGTGCTTTCATTCGGTGAGGAGCCAAGATGCGTAAAAAACCCGTAACATTAGTTTAATCCATGTGTGGTATTCATTATTATAGAACTGTATTTATGAAATTTTCAAGTCTACTCGAAGTAAATAAAAATATCTATATCTTTTTATGGTGCCAATATATATATATATGTAAAGAGTAAAATGTAAATAATAATAATACAATATGATTTCAAGACTATTTACCTTTCTTATGGATACATCGGAATCGGAAGACACACCATATATAAAAAATAGTAGGAGTTTCTAGACATATTATATCGCACCTTTAGGATGAAACCGACCGAACTCAAAAAAGTAAATTTGTGGGAAATCGAAAAAAACGAATGTAAATTGTGACACCTCCTTATTAATTTTTACATTATTTCGTAACTTTTTGAGTTAATAGCAAAGTTATTGCGGAAAATCAGAGAGGATACATACAGCTATGAACCCTTTAAAAAAAGTATAAAAGGAACGAATACTATAAATTAAAAACAAATATTTTAATATGCGAGTCGTTTTAATACCCAATAAATATCCAAAACTTTGACCAAATAGGAAATATGTCCTCTTTTTACTAAAAAAACACATCTGAAATTTGACCGTTTAAGAATTAAGTCTTTTTCGTATTTATCTAATGTAGTTATTTTTTGCCGTTTTCATTTTTAAGTCTTTTTTCTTCGTATAATTGCAAACCCAAATTCAAATATAAGTCATAATAGTAATTAAAAAAACAACGGTTTAATAGAATTATAATATATTAACAAAAATAATGAATAAGTAATATTTATAGAGATCATTTAAGAGCATAACTGTTCGTATGGAGGGTAAAACCTCAGTTAACCTGTCAAGTTATCATAGATCAAAAATTAAAAATGAACAAATATTTTTCATTAGGAACTATTATTACTAAACTGGATGCTAACTAAATATCACATAGTATCATTTGACACTAATTGTCATGTCTGAGTCACATAAAAACAACAATCAACCTTAAACGTAAAGCTAAATAATATATTCTTCATCTAAAATGTGTCTTTGGGTAATTTATTACTACAAAGTAACGTAATAGGAACTCCAATAATAATTATCACTTGAAATTAATCCAAAAAAATCAGTTAAGCTAATCAGTCTTCTAATAACGATTTATAATAATCTATATAGAAACCAGGTACTAGATTCTTTCTGATTAATTCACTTAAACCTTTCTTTTTATTTTCATTTAATTTTATTTTATTCATAAACGCTTTAGAAATTGAGATCTCTTCCAAGCTTGGCATTTTTTTTCTTTTGTTTCTCATATTTACACGAATGAAATCTTCTTGGGCATATGAGGTTTTGTAGAAAAACTCGAAGGGTTTGTTTTTTAAGAAACTTAACACTTTTATATCGTTCCAGGATACTGTGTTACGTTCATCATCTTCGTTAAAATTATAGCCCCACTGATCGTGTAAGGATTTCAAATCAATAAAAAAGTCATAATTTAACTCCAATACTTTGAAAGGATTGCCAGATTTTTTGGCATTTTTTATCAACGTTACATATTGATGGGATGTGTATATAGGACCAGATTTTAGATTTCTTTTTATCTCTTTTTCAATTAAACTGTGAACATTATCACCTTCATTCTGTGTGTGTCTTCGTATTAAATACTTGTGAGTGATACTTGTAATATTTGGAAATTGAGACACAGCATACGAGTACAGACAAGCAATAAACTTGTTTTTATTTTGCCCGCAGCAATTATCGGAGTAAAAAATTATGTTTTTTTTTTTTTTTTTTTTTTATAGGAGAGGGGGCAAACGAGCATGCGGCTCACCTGATGGTAAGTGACTACCGCCGCCCATGAACAACCGCAACACCAGGGGAATTGCAGATGCGTTGCCGGCCTTAAGTTTTTCGCTTTCAGTTATTTTACTCACTCTTGGGTTCTTTGCAGTTGTATTTATATTATGGTGTTTAATAGCAGCCAATTCAGCCATGGTGAAATTCAAGCAGTTTAGTTTAGATATATAATAAAAAGAACTGCATTCTCCCACAGGACATTGCATGATAGCCTGTAAATCATAGACGGTGCAAATATTATATCCATCACCAAGCATCCTACGGTCATTTTTTTTTTCAATACGACAAAGATCTTTTTCTTTTATATGGTTGTCAAACTTCTCTTGCAAGTTTGCCTTTTGGTCTACAGATGCCATCTCATATTGTAAACAAAGATCACAACGATCTTTTTTTGGCTGAAAGAATCCGATATTAAAATTGTTATTAAATACTTGATAATATAGCCAGTACTCCACTTTAGGTTTCATTGGATCTCTGTTTTCACAGAAGTCTCTCCAGAGATCTTTAACCGTTTTACTGCCGTCAATAAACTCTTTCGATGTGGATGCCCTGAGGTAATGTGACTCCATCCTAGGGATTGTACTTATGTGACTCTCAATGTCCTTAATAATGGTTTCGTCTATTTTTTTTTCTATTAGTGTGCTTACCTCTTTGATCCTCAGCTATAAATCCGACATCATTACTTTTTGCTTTGACGGTTCTAATCTGTCTTTCTGTAATATCTAGAGTATTCATGAAATATGTTTTACAAACTCGAATTTTTTGATGGTTTACTGTGAAAAAAAATGCAATATTAGGTGATCTAGGTTTTTGAGCGTTCGTATATTTATATTTTGGCCTCACTTCCATCATGCAAGATTTAATAAATGATCTTTTAAGGTTCACATTAGAAAGGTTCCAATACATTTCAAAAATGTTAGCCCTTTGGACTTCATCTATTTGGTCGGAGCATTTTAATCGACAAGGCTTACACGGGGTTTTCATACTACGGGAAGGAACTTCTTTTTTAGATCTTGACAAGGAAGTGTAGGATTTTCCAGTATTTCGCAATATTTTGTTGATATTCTGTTTCCAAATTAGTGGATTACGGTGCCGTTTTCTACATTTCATATGAGTCATGTTTGTTTCACTAACATTACTTGTCCCAGGTTGTTGTATTTCATATGTATAGTATGTGTAGTGTGTCATATGTGTAGTAGCGCCACTTGAGGAAGAGGAACTTCTACGACGAACAGAAATTTTATTGGGGTCTTGAAATGTGGGGTCGTCATCACTTAAGTCAGGATCACTTTCGAGAGTATTAATTGGTGATAAACAATAATTAGGTTGCACTCTTGAACTAGATCTGAAAGAAATTTTTATGTCTGATTGACTGGTACTAGCACTCATTGCATTTGGATCTTTATGTGTGACGTTTGGATCCATGGTCTTTGTCACAATATCACTCAAAGTGGATGATTTTATGGAATTAGAACTGGAACTAGAACTGGAACTTGAACTGGAACTAGAACTGGAACTTGAACGCGATGAAGTGGAACTACTAGATGATGAAGATACTCTTTTTTCATGACTTGGTCTTCTGGTAATTGGAAAATTTGACTTATTACAATCGTCAGGAGAAGATTCAATCCCGTACTTTTTTGAACTGCTTTTCCACTGTTTAAGAACAAAAAAAAACATTGTAAAAAAATAAATTTGTGAAAAGCTCAGCAAAATTAGTTTGAAACAAACAAAAACTACTGAAAACCAATGTAGCACTTACCATTTCAACAACATTATTATAACAGCAATTTAAAATATTGTTGCTAATAATATCTTTATTAGGCGAATTTTCAATGACTGAGGAACTTGGCGACAACTCTTCCGTTTGATTGCTGACTGTCAATTTCTAAAATGAAACAAACGAGAAGTAAGTTTAGTTTGATGAGTACATAGGTGGATAGATTTAAAAAAAAATATTCAAACTATATCTTACTAGTTCGCTTTGGGTGTTGTCACCAAGACTGATTATACTTGGTGAGTTTTTGACGACTTCATCGACCACAGAATTCGGAGACAAGTTCTCTTTCATTTTATTGTTTGGAAATCCCTATTGGGTGACAGAAACCATAATTAAACCTTTTACAACTAATAGCTAAAAATAAAGGTGGTTGCACAAAAAAAATCATTAGCAATTAAAATATGTAACTACCTCAAGTTCTCCTTTTTTGCAATATTTATCTTTTCCCAAAGCAATGTCCATTATGATATCGCTTCTTCTTTTCATTTCTATGAATTCCAAGTGACGTTTTATTAAACTGTATTGTATTTAATAGTCGTAAATAGACGTATTAACTATTATGCCTTCTTTTTTCACCTAGTAAATAATAAAAAATAGTCTCAATACTTAATAGAACACAAAAGGTAATACTTCGATAAATAAAATAACGACCTAATTTTAAGTCTGTCATATTGAGTCAAGAAATATTAGGATTATTGTATTAATGAAAAGACTTAAACTTAAGTGAGTCACTAAGATTATTATTAATTTTAGCATAAAAATGACTAAAACTTAAATAAGTCACTTAAAGTGACAAAATTATCGGAATAAAAAAAGCACAAAGCGAAGTTTGTCGTTTTATTACCTAAGAAACTGAAGTGAACTTACCGCTGGTTTCGGAATTAAATCGCCTCAATCAGTTTTCGGTCAATCTTTGCCTATCTGCGTAACGTCACATACACGACACTGTCAACACAATACTAAAAGCGTCGTTTCCGCAACGACGCGGTCCCGAAATTTTGCGAGTAAGAAAGAGACCGATTGAACTGGTTTGTCCCGTTCCCACCCGAATACGGCGGTTTTTTATGGACAGATAGATAGACAAAGTTTTTTCGAGTCATTCAATGATCATAACTCATTTTACCATTTTTTTGAGTTAGGTCGGTTTCATCCTAAAGGTGCGATATATTCACGTATTTCTGTAGCTCTGTATTTCTGTTCTGTTACCAATCATCTACGTCTAATAGTATTTTAGAATGAAAAAAAATCTCTGACAGACATAGAGACATAGACACCAAGGTGACTGTAAAAGTGATCGAATATTTCTAAATTTGACACGGCACATCATTTAATGATGTCCCTAAATTCTAGCGCACGCGAGCGAAGCTGCGGGTAAAAAGCTAGTAAATAAATAAATATACACTGTACGAATAAGACAGATAAATAAATATTTTAACAGCCTTTCAGATTATAAATATATACATATGTATGAGTATATTTTGCTTAGTAAAAATAAATGGGACACTCATTGATAAATTTTTCGTACTGTTAGGCTGCATCTGGTTATATTAAGACTTTTATTTAGTGTGGGTGGTGAAAGATGACGCTCCCGCGTCAACCGTCTCTCGTAAATTGCTTAAAATACAAACGCGCACAATAATTATTAGCAACAAGGAATTAAGTCTTCAAGAGTTACAACACATCAGTGACATTAACAGATATTAATGACGAATCCAGAGAATAATAGCTTTTGATACGTCATGTACTTACCTATTTGCGTTTAAAATGTATATCCATGTTCTAATAGATATTATACCATATTTATCGAAGTATTATGGAGAAAACATTGAAATTTAATTAAAAATCAAAATAGCTTTTTGTTTTCTTTTACGTGGTAGAGCCAAGCTGCAGCTATATTAGTAGTATAGTTGTAGCACGAATGGGTCGGCTCGACCGGGGCAGGACTACACTCTCACAGAAAACCAGCGTAAAATAGCAGCTTAACGCTGCTGTGTTTCGTATGGTGAGTGTAGAGAACCGGAGACCCTTTTTACTGGCAAAGAGGCATTCCATCTTAGTCCTCACGGGTGACAACGAATCTGCATTTTAATTCGCAAACGAAGATAGATGCAGATGTCTATGGGTCACAGTAACCACTTACCATCAGGTGGACTGTGTGCTCGTTTGTCACCCTATACTATAAAAAAAAACACAAGACAGTAAAAATAAAAGTTGCATAATTTCTGTTTGATACGAGTAGCATTACCAAGAGCAGGCCAAGTAATTTCTTTTCAGAAAACAGGTACCCGAAAAACAGTCGCATAATATAAAATAACCGCATCCTATAAAATATCCGCCATAAAAATTCGGAAATAAGGATTAGTTTAAATCAGAAGGGTACCGAATTTATCGAAGCGCACCGTTAGTTATGTTTCTATCCTTTATTACATTGGGTCCCATCGTTTAAAGTGACACATTCCTTGCCAATCTATAAATTGGATCCGAAGTAACAACGCCGGAGTAATCAATGGAATAAAGTTGTATTGTGGTAGGGTGGTACTTATTTATATCTATTGTGATATTTATAACGTAAACTTTACACATCTTCTAAAGAACTACTTTTAGAATTTTTTGAATAGTATATAAACTCGGTCACATTAGTTACATTGGATCCTGGGAACACAAGATCAGCAGTCGCCCTTACGACCACTAGACCAGTCAGCATGGCTCCCTTAAAGCATGTAAGGATGATCTAGGATCTTTAAATGTTTAAGTCTAGTAATGAATTAATGTTCGGCTCCCGAACATTAATACTCCTACTAATTCTGCGCTTATAGTATTTAAATATTTTACACCATTTTCTGCCTATCAAAACTTCACTGTGCACATACGCCTCCCCATAAATTGAAATTGGCTCACAGGAGAGATATTTGCTATAGTAGCCGGCTTAGAGGCAATCACACTTTTTAGGTTTCCGTACCCGAAGGGTAACCAACGGCACCCTATTACTAAGCCTACGCCGTCTGTCCGTCTATTTGTCAGCGGGCTATATCTCATGATACGTAATAGGTAGACAGTTGCAATTTTTACAGAATGTGTATTTCTGTTGCCGCTATAACAACAAAAATGATTAGTAAATCCAATTGTGCATGCCTTAAGCGCTTTAAAAAAATTTACTTTTAAAGTAGTTTAATACACACAAGTTTTCACTAAAACCTTATAATTATTACTATACTTCAAATTTACCGATAATTTTATGTCGAATTTCAATTAAAAAAAGCTTGGGAAATCGAAAAGTCCGGAGATAAGGTCTATTCATAACTAACAAAATAAGCCCAAACTCGGCACACCTAGTTGTACTCTTCGAGGAGTTCCAGTAGCATTCACTGAAGTGCACCTTCAGGTCATTCTATCAGGTCCGGAGGTAAGGTTTCATCATAACTAACAAAACGAGGTCAAATTCGGCACATCTAGTTCTACTTTTCGAGGAGTTCCAGTAGTATACACCGAAGTACACTTTCAGGTCATTCTATCAAGTCCGGAGGTAAGGTCTCATCATAATTAACAAAACCAGGCCAAACTCAGCACTGGCACTCGGCGGCTCGAAGTACACCTTCAGATTACTCCATAAAGTCTAAGACGTATCATCATCATCATCATCATTACAGCCCTTCACAAGTCCACTGCTGAATATAGGCCTCCCCCAAGAAATGCCACAAAGCACGGTCACGAGTCACCTGCATCTATTGACATTCTGCATGTTCGACCAGGTCATCACTCTATCTAGTGGGGGGACGCCCTACACTTCGCTTGCCGGTACGTATCAGTTTATTTATATATAAATGCTACGTACTTTTAGCGACAAATATTATTATACAAATCTGTGATTATAAAAATAATAACCTTGGTCAAGTATGTATCAAATTTGGTTTTTGGAATATTTTGAATTTCTACAGCGATCGATATTTTTCCTGCCTATTACCGCTGTTGTAAGCAAACGATACAGCAATCCACTCACGAGGCGGCCAAGCGCGTAGTAAGGCAGGCCAGGCAGAGCAAAGTGTATTTAGTAAATTAAATTAATACAAGGCTGCTACAACACCGAAAATTTCGAGATGTCGCAGCCATAAAAATTATGATAACTAAACAAATCAAAATTAAACTGCCGTTTACATTCCATGGCTTCCCACATGATCGATGAAGAAATTAAAAAAATTATTGAGTTAAACAATTGATATTTTCAAAAGTTATCATGTTTACCCCTCCATGCGGACTTGATAAATCTACACCATAAGTCACTAAAACCACTTTTTTTATTGAATAAAACTTTCACCCACGGTCACAGAGGACTGAGGTGATTGACGTCCCAATCTCAAATTTAACCTGTAGTACCTTCAGATTTTTAATGAACTTACTGTGTCTTGAAGTCTTGCAGTGGTATGCTTGGGTTTAGTTTTAATTTTATTAATTACAGCATCCCAAGCAGGTGTTAGTACCCAGCCTCCATCTCTATTGAAATTAGGATGTTTTTTAATTTCAATAGCTTCACGTATCATCTTTGGCAGGAATGGATTTTTTTCACGAGAATTTATGGTTTATCAAATATAATGTAATGGCGAGGGCCGTCTACGATATTATCACAAACTGCAGACTTCCCGAAACGTTGGTGTTTCACGTCAGCTATGTGTTATTTTACGCGGGTTTTGATAGATCGTTTTGTTTGCCCTATATATGAGAGACCACATTCACAATGAAGCTTGTACACTCCTGCAATATTGCACTTGACCGATGGTAAGAACTGATTAATCTTCTTCGGCGGCTTGAAGAATGATCTAACAGAAGCTCGCTTCAAGATATAGCCAATCTTGTCTGTGACTCCTCTGACATATGGTAGTACAGCAGGCACACGCTCGACCGTGGCCAGATTCACTCGGTCACTGTAACGTAAGTGCGGGACCCGAAGCTTGTTGTCGTGCAGAACCTACTTGACGTGCTGAAGCTCGGCGGCCAGGTGTTTTCTGTCACAGATTCCTCGTGCTCTCTGTAACAAAGATTTGCCCACGGTAGCTAACTGTGAAGGATGATGGTGGGATTCACCGTTTAAATATAAACGTCGCGAATTTAATAAAAATAAGTAAATTAAATGCGATAAAATCCGTAAAAGAAGTTTTATTCAATGTGTAGTGTTCGCGTAAATATAGGAAATCACTTTTTTATGTAAAAGTAGCAATTAATCGATTAAAAAAATATTAATAAGTTTAACAATCATTTATCGTTCTGGCAATGTTTTTTTTTTACATAATTTATGTATTTATGTATTAGTATTTACTATATGTTCAATATAATTGTTAGATACGATTTTATGCGACAAAACGTTGGAATCTTGATTTTTAGGCGCTAGTAGAACAAACCTACGCGCTTTGCGCTTAAGGCGTGCAATAATAAAAATAAAAATTAAAGGGGGCTTCATGCGTGAGTACGACTCGCACTTGGTCGGTTTTTTTTAATTATTTTGAGTTATTCGATCTGAGTTCAGAAGTTCTGCTGACACTCCCAGGATTATTAAGGTAATGGATTATCTTACTCCCCCCCCCCCTGCACGGCAGATTATTTTTAGATATTTTTGTCAGGTGCCGAACCGAGACAGGACCTTTAATTACTTAGTGCACGTGAATACTTAAAACCGACTGAGCTGGCTTTAACTAGCTCTATTAGCGACAAAATGACCGGTGGGTTATATATAAAGCGTTATATACCGCGTTCGCCTTAATATATGTAGTAGGTAAGCGAACAAATCGAGTTCGATTCAAACCGGCACCGATGAAGTTGTTAATTATCTACTATTCATATAGGAAATTTACTACGTAAAGAAAAATATCCTGAGAAAACCTGTATGGCTGAGAAACGAAAACATGTGAAAACCACCAAGAAGTATCGAGGCAGCACGGCGAACTTATCTCCACCAAGACCTTTGCAGAAATGAGAGGAGGTTGTGCCCAGCATGGAACATTATTTCTTACGTATTTACATACATGACATATACATATTATGCTTAATAGTGAAGGATAACGGGAGCCCGGGGTATCTTGGCTTAAGCGCGAATGAAACACCTCGATCCAAGAAGGATCCAGCTCAGAATACCAGCATGTTGTGTTGTGTTTCGTTATGGTGAATGGCGAGAACTAGAAACTCTTAGTCCTCAGGGGTAACAAAAAAGCGTTACTCCCACACTTGGATTTATATCTCCTGTAACGTGGTAGAGGCGTTTAACTTACATAAATTGTCCACGGACAAACATCCCGATATGGAAAAATTATTTGTAAGACATACAAATATTGTAATTGCTCCTTGCGGCATTCAAACCCGCGGCGCGAAGCATGCAACCTAAAGCTTAACCGTATCATGCAGCAGCATCTACGAGTACATTCAACCAAGTGGACAGTGTTGTGTTTGCCAGTTTGTTACCCTAATTCTATAAAATAAATTGGTAAATCCAATTATTGGGCACGCACTAAGCGCATTAAAAAAATTACATATAGCATGATTATACGGGTTTTTTTTAAGTAGTTTAAATACATTTCGACAGCACTATCGGCTTCAACACCCTCGAAAACCATGAAAATGACACCCATGATGAAAAAATTGGTACCTAATTCAGCTGCCATCTTGGATTTACATTTCGATAGCACTATCGGCTTCAACACCCTCGAAAACCATGAAAATGACACCCATGACGAAAAAATTGATACAACTTACTTTTAGTACGTACTACTATTATTTATTCTGTGCTTTTAAAATATTGTAATAAAAAATCTCTCATTATTATTATAATCAAATATTTAAGAAATTTGGTTATTCGAATATTGTGTATTTGTACAGCAACCTTTTTGAGCCGCTGCAAACAACCGAAACAATGTCCACTCACGACGGCCACGGACGCCAAACTGAGTGAGTGAGTAAAGTACTCTGGCTGTAGCTCAGAGTGCGGCTTCCTCCTATTTACAGAAATAATTTACATAAAAGGCTACCAAATCAACGAAAATTTCGGCATTTTGGAGCCGAAAAAAATTAATTATAACTAAATTAAATAAAATTAAACTGCCATTTACATTCAATGGCTTCACACATGTTAGATGAAGAGTTTTAAAAATATATTGAGCTGAACAATTGATATTTTCAAAAGTTATCGTGT